AACTGACATTCCCGTTCCTGTGTTCCTGCTCGGACTGGCACAGACTCAGATAACATGCTACTGCGACCAGGGACAGGTCTGGACAAGTGCCTGAAAACCCCATGCCACTCCCCATCAGAACAGTCCTCCAGCAGGCTACGATTGTTTTTCCAGCGTCTGCGTGGAATTCCGGAGCCAGATTAAAGGGGAAATAAAGGTCTGGCACCACTGGAAGGATGGAAATCCGAGGAGCATGTTGTTGTGTGTGCTGCCTGGAAAGAAACATGATGGGTGTTAAGGGTTATTTTCTCCTTTAATCAGTAAAAAACTCCCAAGCAGCTGGTGTGATAGTGGAAGAAAGATTACTTTAATCCACGCTGGAGATTAAAAGGGCACAATTTGCTACTACTCCCAGTCCCAGTGCCATAACCTCAAGTCATTTCGCAATGCTCTACTGTCCTTCCAGGCCGGACTCCGAAGGATATACAGACTGACATGCTGATGGGCTGCTCTCAGTGAAAGCACACACTCGGCTCAAACAGTGCAAGATCACTTTCCACATAAACAACATGATGGTAATGTACTTTTTTTTGGGGGGGGGGTTCCCACCTCCAAATTTCAGTTCAGTTTCTTTGTCATGTGCACAAGTGCAATGAAATGCTTATTTGCATGTATGCTCCAAGACAAAGACATTAAAGGAATCACCAAAAACATAAACACAGAACAGCAGGAGCAGCGAGTTAAATCAGATACAACTTCAAAAAAACAGCGGTGTGAGTTAGTGAGAGGGGTAGAGTTCAGTAATCTGACAGCTTGTGGGAAGAAACTGTCTCTGAATCTGGAAGTTTGTGCCTTTATGCTCCTGTAACACTTACCAAAGGGAAGGGGGGAGAAAAATGAAAAACCAAGATGACTGGTATTCTTAGCGATACTTTCAGCCTTCCTGAGACAGCCAGTTGTAGAATTGTCCACAGTAGAGGGGTCTGTACTCCACTGATGGACTGGGCTGACCTGATCACCCCCTGTGACGCCTTCCGGTCAGACAGCGAGCTGCTGC